ACTGTCATCGTGTGAAGCGAACTGGATGGAGTCGTTCATGTCGGACGTCCAGACGTGGGACGGGACGGTTGCCGAGCCAGACTCATTATCATCATCTGATTTGGCACCAACGAATCCGTTTGGTAACCTGTCCGAGTGTTCCGATGATGCAGTCTGGGGAGAGGTTGCGCTGGCTGTACCGGTGGAACCAGTTGTACGAGCTCCTGAAGGACTGCTCGTGTTCATCGCGGAAGTGGTGTCGAATGGGACCCGGAACTGAGCAAGATTTTCTTGATTGTTTGTCAGCCAATCGTACAAGAGTTGCTCGGGACACTTGAGTGGTTTGCTGTGTATGCAAGTGAACGGATCAGAAGAAGTAGAGATAGATTTAATAGAGATTGTAAGATTCAAAAGTGAAAAATCCCGAAAAATGTAAAACAAAATTTTTCAAACCGCATGCGATGAAATACTTTCGCTGAGCAATTGAGAATACACTGAATGCATGGCTACGTTGACACCCGACTACACACCCTGTTCGGACTACTTTGTCGCTCCGCAACGTACGAAGTTCATGAAGAACTTGTGACGGAAAAGAATTATGATGGGTGTTGTATACCGAATAAAAGAAACATGAAATATAAGGCTTTTTGTAGGAGGGAATCAGTTGAGCTGATAAGCGAGGGGTGTTAATGGGGAAAATATGGTTCAAAAGACTTTGAGCTGGGTTTATGGGATAGAACCGTTAGATCGGGGGAAATAAGCACTAGGCATGAACCGAGATCTTTTGCCATTCATATGTTTATTCAGGAAAACGATTAGCTGATAAAAGAAATACGGATGCAGTCTGTACCGCATTCGAAAGTTGCCACACTCAGCATTGAATAGTTGCTTCACTGATTCTGACTGTTTCATTTCAGTTTAAGAAGTAAATCTAATCGTGCTTCTTGTAAATTTCCAATCGATGACCAACAACGTATGACTCCACTGAATATCAAAATCAGAGTTCCCAAAACCCAATCACGAGAAATGATCACCATTCATCATTTTCACATGAATCGCTCTTGAAGATAGGGAAAGATAAACTTGTTAAACGATCAAAATGAGCCGGGTTGTTGCTCTGTTCTGCTTATAATCAAATTCACAGCATTGAAACAGTGACCGAAAATCTCAAGTCAGATCCACCCAGTGCAGTAATTAATTTCACCTTATGCCCGAAAAAGACCTGTGGTTAATGTTGGTGAAACTGAGACAGCGAAGTATAACATTAAATATAGAATATATATTAGACAAAAGTACACACACACACACACATGCACACTTTTCACGGGCAACGACCGAAGAAAAGTTTCGAATGAGCTCTAAGTAATCATTAAACCATGAACCGGAACGATAGAATGGAACATCTGGCAGAATCCGAACACTTATCCAAGAAAATATATACTGAAAGAGCCGACTCACTAGAAACTGATATGTTCACCCCGCTATTCAGATGATTGCAACGTATAGTTTGGATTAAGTAAAATCACTTGAACAATCAGAATGTTCAGTGCTATACAAGGTATAGTGCTAAGCCTTTCGCCCCGACTCAACGTACGCCGTCACGAACACAATAATTCAGCAAGTGCACAACAAAATACAAGATCATTCGTAATTTTTCTGCAAATTTTCCCATCTGCTGCTAGTTCTTGAGCAGTAAAGAAACACTATTTAGTCATCAAATCGTCAGTGCAATTATTCCACTGGAAAAAGAAAAAAAAATGATCTGTCAACCGATCGATCCTTGTTGCCTGACTTTTATCAGTTACTGTTTGGAAAAGTACAATTATTGACAAAATATTGAAAATCGGCTCTCGTAGCTCGGGTGAACTGAATTCCATTTCGCCTGTTCGCCGAGATTGGCAATGTGTTGGCAAACGTTTCATCACCAGCCGAGGTGACATCATCAGTGCAAGCACTGGTGATGAAACGTTTGCAAACAAATTGCCAAGCTCGGCGAACAGGCGAAATGGAAAGTACAATTATGACATGGATTAGAAGACAAAAAGGAGTCGTCGGAATTCACTCACTCAGAAAGATGTTTAACTCAGTTATTGGATCACGATGTAGAACCACTGACATCGACAATCGAAGAGCATCTGATAGGAACACTAGTTCTACAGATGAAACCGAAGGCCGAATATGATGGTAATCACCAACCGGATGAAGAACCGATTACAAGACCATTGTCCCACACGTGAGTCACTGCTGGTTCTAAAACTCATTTGGTCGTGCCATACTTTCATTCTCATGACTACGGAGTAGCGATGTGCAACCCCCCCCCCCCCAATTCACACTTCTCTGACACTGACTTCAACACCAAGTATGTGAAGACAAACTATGTCTTACGTGCTAAGGCTATATTCCCATTCATTTTACAAATTTTATCAAAACAGCCAACCACAGAGTGGATCAAAGCGTAGGGATGTGAAAACAAAACCGGAGTCATCGAATAAAGCCTTTTCAGTATAGCTTCCCAAGTAGACGCTGTAATCTCTTGGTGCATCGGGCGGGGGTGGCCCGGTGGTAATGTCACCCCGGGGATGTGTTCGAATTCCACCACCACCGCCTGACTTCCCACATTGTGTGTTGAATGGCAGCCCTTTGATTGGCCGCTTCCCCCTTCCTGAAAATTGTGCCATTGCATATTCAATAAAAGGAAGTAAAAGAAAAAGATAGAACTCTTGGATTCCAACTTATTCCACGTCTTCGTTTTATGGGGGCTAATATTCTTTTTCATACAAACTCACAAGAATTAACCCAGTGAAGTTAACTTGGGAAATTCTGTGGTTAGGATATCGTTTAAACAGCCTCTGATGAGGAAGCCCTACTCACTACATTCGGAGGTGTTTTCCGACTAAAGTAGGAGGGGGGACGAGAAACCAACTTCCGGGGCTATAACCTAGTGAGTTGACCACCTAGGGGAGTTGGCTGGAAAGGCTTATTCCAAAACAACCAGGAAGAGACGGACTCGGAGCTCTATCCTGTTGTCTTGCAGGTCGGCTTTCTGGCTAAAGGCTTCGGGTGGAGACCCCGAGGTTATCGCACTTCCTAGGTCAGGGCAACCGGGAAATAACATGCCCAAATTCTACAGATGTCTTTGTTCATATGGTGTGACACATTTGCCAGCTCTCTCTAAGTGACTACACGTTGAAATAATGTGTGGATGCAGATATTTTATTTCTCGTATTAGCTGTTACTACATGATGCAAGTGAAGCGTTGATTCATCAAAGCAAAATATAGTCTACGCAGAATAACTGTTGTGAGAGCAACCGACTTTGGAACCAGTCGCATAATTCCAATCGCCGTCGCTCATCTCGAGCACAAAGATTTTGTTCTTAGCTCACTACATTCGTTATGGGTTAAGCTTAATGTGGCAGTTTAAGCAACGCAGGCCCAATCACTCGGCTTCAAAGGCCAACTCCACGCTTCAATGTACTAGTGACTCCCTTGGGCCCAGCTCGTTTCGTTGGTTAGTTTGTATGTGCGCGCAAGCGCGTGCGCTTGGTGCATTAACAGCACAAATGGTTTACCAAATGGATTATTGTAACCTCAAGCCTTACGGAACCAGAAATTCATTCTTCAAGGATCTTTCCGACCAAAAAATTATTTACAGAGTAAACGGGCAGCACTCAGCTGTCCTGAAAAAAAACCTCACGGTTTCAGCACATGTTCACTGATCGAAACCAATTGTGTGTCTATTTGAGCCCCCAATTTTTAACTACTGATTGTGTCTGCAGTAGTAAAACTGTGATTTCGAATTAGGCCGTTTTAGACTACTCAGGAGTGCCAGATACATGAGGAACAACGAGGGGAGGAGGTCTCGTGCGTTGTTTTGTATTTACTGCAGTTACAGCGTGCCGCAGACCAAAATTAAGATCAATCTCATTCTATTTGGTAAAAGAGAGAAAAAACAAAAAAATCTAACTTCGTTAAACAACGTGGTCGGAGACCAGCGGCACTGAAAATTGAGGAGTTAAGGCTTCGGGATAATAACAACCCGATTAAATGCATAAAACTTTACCGACATCGTAGAAGAGAGTCTAGAATGTGTTAATCAACTAGAACACCATTTATTTTGGTCTTCGAACTCAGGAACCAATGAGTAACCACTAACCGCAGCGTTAAAGCAACATCCGAGGGGAAAATATAATCTACGCAAACGACCATTATCTGTTTCACAAGTCGAACTTCATCACTTAATAGCTGAAATGAGGATTGAAAGACAACAAATGGCGTTATGTGTGAACGGAAACTAGTAAAACGCTCTCGTATTTCTCCAATGAACTTCATCAAAAAAACAAATTAAAATTAAACACGAGTGTAAGCGAATGATCGATCGAAAACCGAAAATTGGTAAGGAGGTAAAAAGGATTTTCCACGGCAGTTAGGTAGAGCCACAGATGTTCCTGAATCAATTAGTGATCATAGACGAGGTGAACGAAGGTAGTTTATCTTTAATACGTCAGTAGTGTGAATGCTGTACGATCTGCTTATTGAAATCCTCCAAATACGATAAACATGTACAAGTATCAAAAAATATACGGTGAAATAAACAAAAAATTGCTATTTTTCTTATCCACTATAACTGTTCGACCCCCATTTCACTTAGTTTTGTATCCAAACCCCTCCGTTTTTGTTGTTATCGCTTTTGCGTCGGCATCATGCTTGTTCACAAGCCGATGATAAATATATATATCGAAGATGCAATGTTACCTTTAACAGATATTCTCATGAAAAAGGTGAGTATTAGTTAGACGCCCACATAATCCAAACATTTTCTCGCTAGCTAGGTTGTTCACAATCGAACCTTGTTTATTAGTAGAAAAACAATTCGTTCCAAAAGCACGAGCATTGTGATGGACCCAATCCAATGTGGGGTTCCCAAGAAAACACGATCGATAAATTGACTGGAGGCTACGACAAATTCAGTGTTAGGTGAGAAGGCACATATTTGTCATAGTAAAAATCTCTCCCGATAAACTCACAGATCATACATGACATCCGACTCGTCAAGCTGATAGTACCAAATATCGGAACCGGTGCAGCTTAGGTAAGGATAGGGTATTACTGGACGCAGATTGGCCAAGTCTTCGCCGAGCACTACACTTGGTGGTGGTTTGCTCAGAACCGGATTGCTACAATTCCGATCGGTGTAGGAGTTGGATACCGCAGATCATAAAAAAGTTGATAGTCCGAACGAAAGAAAAGGGGGAGAATGGAAAAGAGAAGTGGTGAGGCTATTTCAAACTGGTTATAACAACGTGGGTATAAACACAAAAAGAGCCGAGGGCCAGAAACCGGTAACTGGAAATATGAAGCTGAAGTTTGGAGGCTGAGCTTACTAGCTTATGAACTTATGTCGATAGGTAAGCCGATAGTTTATCACGTCTCGCTGAGTTGAAAGTGCGTTAAAGCTTGGGGTTCATATTGCACTCCTTATCCGCGAAATACGCGCAATGCAATGTGTTTTTCTTCGACTTAATGTTGCCTTATTACTGCATAATAAAATGAATTGCGATTATTAGCGCCCAAATTTTACAGAAAAGTTTAGAGAAAAGACCGTATAGTGTGAAATAGCTCCGTGTCGGTTTGTCTTGTAGTTAGTTAGATCAGTCGGATACAGACATTCGAGTATCGTGCACTGAATAAATCTTTCCGAGTAGAGATTTGTTAGGGAAAATCTTTTTTCAGAAGACACCATTTCCCTTCATTCTCCCAGTTTTCGCATTTACATTGATGAAATTCAAATTTTCATTTCTCCGTGCCAAAAAGGTTCCTTTCTAGCCATGAACCCCGTTAGTTCATGACGGAGATTTGGGATAATTTCCGAGGTCACTTACACTCGACTGAAAAAAGGTGTACAAACAGAAAAGTCCGTCCTGAGAACCGCCTTCGGGCTGAGCCAAACATACAACCTCGCTGATATATACGCTATTATTAACACAGTTAACATGATCTCAAATTGATGTTACGAAGGATTCATTTGATGAAACAAACCTGAACAGTATGCTGACCTCAATCAGAGAAAGGGAAAGAAGTATCATTCGAAATACAATGAATGGAGCAAACGAAATCGACGAATGAAGAGGAGTTCCATGATAAAAGGAGCAACTCATTAGGAATAACCAATATTGGTTAAAGACGAGGGAGTCAAAGTGAGCAATTAAGAACAGTAAACCATTTGATGATAGGCAAGCTAATGAACTAACCGACTGATTGAATAGTAAGACTCGGTTCTAAAAGTTAGAACCCTAAACAAAGAGTGACATCATGATCCGAAAAACACCAAGGTCTGAGTATTTGGTGAACAAAACTGGTCCTGTGACGATAAATCAGAACATCTAACGAGTGAACATATTTAACTGATGTCCCGGCGTTCAACATTTAGAATTCCCCTTTGATATCTGTTCTACGGTAAGGTAATATCAGCTCAACCCAGTTGACACAGCTGCTACCATCGCACCTTCGCGTGGCGGTTTTGGTTGTTGCCTTTTGGTAGCCCATTCGGATAACAGTGGGAGGAAAGAATCTGAAAGCTGGAGATAGCACCACAGTAGAGTTACAGAATGCAGCCACAGTAAATTTGCAGGGATTGAGATGCATAAGCGATGCAGTTTACGATAAAGACTGTACAATAAAACGACGTACTGCAATACAAACATTCAAGTTAATATTCTCCCTGGATTAACACTCACTTCGAGTGAACAGCGGCACGACGATTTGCGAACCAGTGCACTGTGGCCTCAGCTGGAAGGAATCGTTCTACAAAAACCGTGACATGCGTGAACGAGCTTAGACGAGACAACCAGAGGGCATTTCGGGTTTTGGTCTCCGTAAGGAAAATTGGTGTGCGATCAAGCAGTCGCATATCTTTCCCGCATAGCGTATGCAACAATGGCCTCGTGGCGCTAGACTGAGCTAGATCCCGAAAAAGATTGAGCGGGTGCCCTGGTGGATAGACTTCGTCGGTGGTATACCAACGTGCTGGATCGGGCTTGGGCGCGAGTCGCGTCGCCGGTTCCGACGTCACATTCGGATTGGAACTGGCAGTCCCGTCGGGTTGCGAGTTGGGGATTCCAATGGCGTGCGCTGATCCGGTTGGTCTGTTTCTGTCCGAACACAGTCGGAAAAGCGCAGAAAGACCAGAAGGGCCTGAATTGGATTTCAAGCCATGCGCCTCACCCTGAATCCAAGCCCCTTCGAAGAGAGTGTCTGGAAATGCGTCTGACGTCGGTGCAACTGGTTCAAAATGGCGTAGTCCTTCTTCACGAACAAGTAATCTGAGAATGTTCGATCCAAACGATGGGTGAGCATGATAAACAACTTGGGATAGAACATCTGATAGGGGCAAATTGCTCTTATTGCACAGTAAAATATAGAAAATGAAACAACATAGACGATCTACCGATATTTGCTATTAAAGGCATAATATAATAAATTAACCGTTGCTCTCAGATCTGCTAACTAGGAGAAAGATATATCGATTAGATTACAATACTGCATACAGGCTGTGTATTTTGGCAGCCAGTGATCGAGTCCACATGTCATGTAGTCTGAGAAATGATTGCAACCGCAATGTTTCCTATCGCGACAACAACGGCTAGAGCGAGTGAGGCATGCATATTGATGACAGCAGAAAACTAACAAATGTCATTGACACAAAAACAAAGGAGACCTATATCTTCGTTACAGGTAGAATGACAAATCCTCGAAAGTCTCGTTTGTTCGAGACTAAGTGAGACATCACCTACCCTCACAAAAATTGTTCTCATAGAATGATCCTTTTAAGGTATCTACTATGGGTGATAGTGGCGCAGTGGTTTAGTCGCTGTCACTGGCGTCCTTTGAACCCTATGGTCCGAAGTTCGAGCCCCGCCACCGCCACCCGACTTTGGTGGTAGGCAGCTCTGCTGTCGTCCGGTTCAATACCACGCCTAACCTATCGGGGCTCTATGTGGTTCGCCACTCCAAGTTCCAGGGCTTAGGTTGCCGATTTCAACCACTGAACAGCAGGTCCTCGTGACTATGGGGTTTACCCCGTCTGCTGTTCATTACACCTAGGCGTGTAATAAAAAGATGGAAAACCTACTCGCTTCATTTTTTTCGTGATGAGGCTGATTTTGCTACGAGTGGGTGAACAAAACTACCCTCGATTTATGAGTAGCTAGATTGTTTGGGGAGCTGGGAAAGCAAAAAATCTAAGTTAGCAAGAAAAGGCGCAAAGACGGGTTAGCGACAAAAATTTGAGCTACTGGGCGACCGGGTTATGTGGAACGCGTCAGCAACGTTGAATTCACGGACCGGCCACGGGAGCACATTAACACACTGAGAAAATCACCCAATTTGGTTTGAGTAACCTGAGAGTATCAAACTCAAAAATAACTTATGGATTAATTTAGTTATGATGGTAGTGTGATTTGTAAAACACGCGCTCTGCAGGTAGACGAGTGTGACAACGCGGTTCCACGTGGGCAGATGAAAGTAGATGGGAATAACAGTCATTTCTCCACAGAGATCACTTGATTTGTATGCCTTCCCAAACGATTGCTCAGTAAACGCCTCGAAGAAACGCGACTTTACAACTATTGGAATAGGGTCGGCATGGGGGTAATATAAATACCACAAGATTACAATGACGTTCAAAATTGTCTGAGCGCTTTTCTGGCTAGAAATGCCGTGGTTGTTATCCTGAGTGATAGTAGCTCGTACCCAATTGAGTTATCTGTATCTAAACAGCGGGTTGCATAGACGGTTTCTCGGAGCGATTGCGCATGTTGAAACAGTTGTGATTAAAGTAAGCAGTCGACAGGAAATGAGTCGTAAATCACAAAGCAAGTGGCAAACGACCGGCTATTCAAACTAAGAAGGTTGCAATTCTCTAAACGGTTAAGCTGACGGGACAGCCACAAACGGAAAGAGATTAGAATCGGACCTAATATGTTAGCGAAGAAGATACAAGATACAGGTGGAGAACGCAGAAAGTTAACCAGATACCGTACGTTTGGTCCAATAATACGGACCTAAAATAAAAACCGAACAATTACCTAGAAACTGAATTTTGAGTATGTTGCATAATAACTGTGGTTGCTACAGTGGTTAAACGAGACCCATGTATGTTCTTTCATACTACTTTGGATTTTGCTCTGACGAACTTTCCGCATCTGTCCCTCTCTCACTTGTTCTTTCTCGTAGATCCCGAGCACAAGCGGTTAGTCACCCATTTCAAGTGACTATCCCCAGATGTCGCATTGCTAAGTTTCAATCATCTTTTCTCCCAAGAACAGCACAACCGTGGAACATTCTCCCCGTTTCGGTCTTCCCTCCAACGTACAACATCCATGTTTTTAAACGCAGAATCAACAAGTTGGTTCTAGTTTGAATGTTCCCCATACCTTCCCACTTACAGTATATCTTGGGGTTTACCGCTTGTACTGCATTCGTGTAATAAAAAAATTCAAGAAGGATATGGTTTCCCCTATCAGTGTTCAGTACAGTCAAGCTGTAATTCACCAAGAATTATCAGCAATGCACACGCACCGAACCGACTGGGATTCGAAGTCGGACATGGGTTGTTAACTCTAGGCCTTAATCGCTTGGAGTTATCGCTTAGTAGCTTGGTACATATCAACACAACCTGATACAATGCCCATACATCACTGCCGTTCAAAGTAGCCGGACTTCACCAAAACAAGGTGAAGACATGAGTGATCGCCATAAACCCAAGTCATGCATTGGAAGTTTGTTGTTATCCTTATTCTCCAGTCCCCCTAAGAGGAGCCAGATCCTTAACGAAATTTTATTTCAAGCAGTTGCTGAAGGAACTCAACGTCAAGCCCTTCTGACGTGTCTAAATTTTGGGTTGCAACAGTGACGAAATCACGATTGCAGTTCACAAAACGGATCCGTCAGCACACACTCTGGTAATCATGCCTACCTGAGAATAAAATGACTCAGTGAACGAACCGTAAACTGATTCACGAAGGCAATGAGTTGGTGTACACGCCAGCACCATTGTGACAGGCAGAATTCGCATGACGTGCATGGGCTCATTCATCACAAAATCATGTGAAGAACGTTGTTTGATCAGTGGGTTGTATGGATGAAGTTTCTGACGTTTTCAAATGGACTGTACACTAAATCAGGGGTCCGCAAAAGTTGTGAATCATTAAAATAGATAAATAAGGAGATGGTGATGAGGTTCGAACAAGCGAACTACAGGATACTGGGGTAACGACCTGCGTTGCTCTAACTTCGTCGCCCAGAAAACCTATCTACTGCTATCCGCATCCTAGTAGGAATCACTGTAGATCGCAGTAGGCTTCAACGTTGCACCTCCATCTGAGGCCATGTAATTGTGATCATATAAATTTGAGTGCTATGTACCACAGGGTTATCAAACTGGCAAATGGACGCATGTTTTCAGTTCATATAGGGAAAACCCAAAAGATTAATAGATCTAAGGCATCGTAAAAGCTAGGAGAAATATGAGGACTAACAGTGCCAACCATCGCAATTTCAGTTTAAGTTTTTATAACCCTTTAGCTTGCATTTTCATGCGGCGGTTTCGGTTGCTGTCTCTTGGTTGTCCATTTGGATGGAGTAAAGAGAAGATTGGGATTTTGAAAGTAGTGTGAAGGTGAAAAAAGACCATTCATGAAAACTAAGGTTTTAAGGAAATTGAGCAGATGCACGAGCACCACCATTTACAACGCTCAGCCATATCACTGTGTATTTATCCATCGATGGCGTTCATCTCGAATTATTACAATACCACTATCATGATACTAATTTAGCGTATCATGTGGGCCCTGAGGGGGGGGGGATATCTCATAGACCAGTCATGAAGCAACCTCATTAAATTTCTGAGGATGCGACAGTTGGCATGTTGCATTTAACGTACCGTTGGTATGACCATGAAGAAAAACTGCAAAGTAGGTGTATCCGCACGCAACACAACAACAACGTGATATTTACGTATACGACCTAGCGTATGTAATAAATGTCCCAATCGCCTTATTGCAAGCTTACGAGACGCAATCACGAAAAATGGAAGATACGAAACCGTCGATTTTGTCAGAGTCGAAGTTTTATTATGGGCGATTCAACAAAGCTAAAGCTTATCATGCCCCATAGGATTTTTACAAAATATTTTGGATAACTTCACAAAAAGAAAATAATAATAATAACAATTTGCATGATCACTCACGGATGTTGAAATTTTAAGTGTTCCAATGCTTTATCAAGTCGCGAGTTAAATAGTTCAACTATAGGAGCACACACTACATCAGATGGAAAATAATTCCATACGCCGCACACTGACTGCAAACGAGTAATGCCGGGAATCAAGGTGGCTGTTCTGGGTCTTTACCTTTAGTGGATATCTCCTGAGGTGATCATTATGAGATAAATTCAGCATAGAACGGCAAGGGTGTTTGGGTTAGTGCAGCGGTTTCTTCTCATAAACTTCAGAATCTCGTGAGTCAGTTTGGTCAACAATACGGAAGTTAAAAGTAAACTACATGGAGCCGATGTAGAGTAACGATCCAATGGGTAACCCGCACAAGCGTCGTTGATTGTGACATCGACTGCGTTCGATAAACTCCATCGGCACTCCGTGTTCAGTGAGGCGAATAGTAATCACTGAATATTGAAAGTAATCAACTGATGACTTAGTTAAAGAGATAAAAACTACTTAGTCATATAGAAACAACTTTAAGTGATGTTGAATTTGGACATCCCCGAGAACACCCAGCTCCAACCTCTAGTTTATGCTTGGCTTTTCAAGAGGAGCATTACGAGATAAAGAATGTCGGGTTCATGGTTGTGAAAACTGAAGGGATGCCAAAAGAGGCCATGTTAACTAGTTCCAGGATTGAGTTACTATCACGTCTACGACATCTAATAAGGGAATCGGCTTAACACACTAAGTATTTCACCGGACATATATGTATTACCAGTTATGATATAAATAGAACAGCTTAGTTGTCTATCACACTGAGCACCGAGTGAATTAGCATCTTACTGAGTTGCATTCTAAATGACTATTTGCCATTTCATAATTGAAAAATCATCTGGGCAAGTAACAAGTTGAAAATCAGAATCACAAAATTATCAGATTCGCACCGCTCGGGAAAAAAACTTTGCTTTGACCTATAACAATACTGATGAGGGACGAATTCTGGTGAGGAACGTTGAGCACCAAGAAAGACATGTTTACAGCTGGTATTCTACCCTGAATGACCGATTATAAGCTGTGGTCTGTAAAAAGGAGTTGAAAAAAAAACAGACGAGAAGGAAAATGAGAACGTTTTTGATAGGAGAGTGTAAATTTTTCATCGGAAATGAGAAACAAGCGAA